AAATATGATGATTCTTGATGTTTGTTAAGCAAAAAAGTTGATGAGCATGTAAGATAATTGTGAATTATATATATGAGCTTTTGAAATGTATTTTCTCACGAACATGATGATATGGCAGGAGTTCGCCTTAGTGAAAGAGTTAGCGGTTATGAAAAATCCATATGGTACTTGACTATTAACTAATAATTCTAAGGGCTATAGTTGCTACTTACCTTATAAGGTACCGTAGCATTGTTTCTATTAAGAAATTTGACCCAACTGGCCTACCTAGAGTTTTGGGTAGAGCTAATTTTGGATATGATATCCCATAGTGTGTGATTTGGAGGAAACCATGTTCATAAGTAAGTAAGGCAATCCTGGCCCGGTAGCCCCTCACGATATGATTAAAGGCTTGGGTAATCTTACCACATGGATGATCCTTATCGATTATTGGCCCATGAATTTAATGTCAAAGGAAATACGGAGGGACATAAGGAAGAGATTGATTATGTATATTATTATTATCATGCCATTTGAGTGATTGATGACTATGTTAAGAATATGATTATAATTATGAAAATGAGAACATGTAGTAATTATGCGAATAATGTATATGTGGCCATTTATGTAAACTTTGTACTTGACTTTATTCTTGAGATTATTCACATGAGTTAGATGTTAATGTGATTAACATGTTACAAATGTGATTGTTTACATGGTCACCTTGATAAACTTATTAGCTACTTACATTCATGATTAATTATCATGCATTTGTATAACTTAGATGTATCTTGATTACTGAGTGGTTGTACTCACCCCTCTCTTTTACCATGTTACAGGAGCTAGCTCATCTCAGAAGAATAGAGGAAAGGAGCATTGGGCCAAGTGATAGTAATCACTTTGTAGGCCTTTCTCTTTTTATTTTGATATGTGTATTTAGTTTATGATATTACCAACTAGGATAATATATTCTTGATCTACTTATATTATAGGTTTTGTGTTGGGTGGAAATGTATTTTAGGCCCTAGAGAATGTGGTTTGATGCTTATGCTATATTAACGGGCTAAAATATTTGTGCAAGTGAAAATAGTTAATAGTTTATTTAATTTGAGAACTTGAATGTTGTTATGGTCTCCCCTTGTGTTTTTTATGTTTAAGGGTGAGCAGTTGATATTAATTATATGTGAATGAAAAGGAAAATTCATGCATATAATGGGCTATTGATGAATAGATGATATATAGAGTATGATGATTAGGTAATAGTCATTGTGATAAATGTGATTGAGACCTTGGCCCCCCGCTGTCAGTTATGTTATGAAAGGGTTTTAATGGTCAAGTGTTATGTTGTATATATATATATATATGTATTGTGAAGTAAGGCATGGAAAGAAAATAAAGGGGGAAGCTCTTCTCCCATGTTGATATGTTTTCTTTATCATGTTTTCGCATATATTAATTGAATGATATGAGTTCTTGAAATATTTTAAAGACTTGGAATCCCTTTATATTGAATCGTTTATGAAAATAAATTTTAAGAATTTATTTAGGTTAATCTTTTATAGGATAATCCTTTTGGATTAGTCTTTGATTTATTAGAGTTAGCCTGATGATTAAATCTTAATTTAGGACACCCTTTATAATCCTAACCCAATCCTCTCGCATTTTCGCAATGACAAAGAAAGTTCTTTTAACTTAGGAAGAATCGCACTAAAACCCTAAAAATAGAAAAAAATTGCATTGCAAGCTCAAGGGCCCTTATTATAGTTTTTCTTAACAGTAAAAGTATAATTTTGCCCTTGTGTGATTTGAAAAGTCAGATCATGTACAACACAATATTGTGGGTGTATAACACGATGTTCATGAATTCTCAACATAATATCCGTATATGTCTAATTGATCAGTAGGTTTAATGAAATGTATAAGTGACACAGATAATATATAACACTATGTCCATGGATACACAATAAAATATTCATGCATTTCCAACTGAATGTTTATGCGTGAACACGCATGAATATTATGTCGAGAATTCATGAACATTGTGTCATATACCCATGAATATTGCGTTGTACATACACTGTGTAACTTGTATATTGAACTAACTTATAAATCAACTAGACACACATATATATCGTATTGAAAATTCATGAATATCATATTATGCATTCATAGATATCATATTGTGCTTTGTGGATAAGGGTTTTGCATAGGTTGAGTTTTTAAATCATATAAGAATAAAATTATACTTTCGCTTTCAAAAAGATTGCAACAAGGGCTTTGAGTTTGCATTTTAAAATCAAAATATATTAGGGTCAAAATATAATTTTTTTTTTTGAGGCCTTCTTCTTTAATTTAAGCTCGCCTGATCTCGATCTGACACAGCTTCATTTTGTGTTCGAATTTTTATGCATTTGTCACATCATATGCGAGGATAATACTATCTTTTATCGTTATGCTTTAAGAACCAAGGCTTTACTTTAATTTAATTTTTTTTTTTAAAAGAAAGAACCATGGCCTTGAGGGCGAGATCGAAACCGAGACACCGGGGATGAAAGCTGCTATTATATTACTCATTCCCTAACCTGGGACACTGCCTATCATGGTCCTTCACCAAGATTCTTTCCTTTTTCTTTCCCATTCTCTTTCTCTCGTCTCTTTTTTAACTATCAGATAATTATTTAAGTAATTTAGATTTAATCTGTTATGATTGTTTTTATTTCTTGTTACATTTTTAAATTGTTTAGAATAAATTTTAATAGTTTGAATTTTATGCACAGTCCAAAAAGGAGATGGAGGAGAGAGAGAAAATCGAACCACTACTTGTGCCTTCAAGGATTCGTCGATTTTGGCATTCGTTATGATAATGGAGGTCGAAGGTTGCCATAGAGATAAAGGCCTTGCACAGTTGGCCATCTATGGTGATTCCATTGTTCCAAAGCTCAGATGTTCCCTCTCCTATTAATGGAGGTGATCCTAACTAGCGATGGAAATGAGAAAACAATAATGATAGGTATCAAGTTTGGAAAAGGGAAAGAGATGGAGTGAGAGACGATGATGAAAGTGGAAGCAATGGAGTGAGAGAGGGTCACCAATGAGGCCACCTATGATTATGACGGCGAGGTAGTTGATCTATTCAATGGTGTTGTGGAAGAGTAAAAGAGTCAAAGATCTGGCTTCCATAAAATTTTGCCCATCTCCATGGACCATAGGTTTAGTGGTAGAACCCTGTTCCACCAAATGGAATAAAAAATATGACATGTCAAATAAAATAAATTTAAATTTCACTTTCAATTTTATTTCCATGCTTTTAAATTTCATTATACTAAACGAGCTCTTAAAGAGTTGGAAAATTCAAACTTAAATGTTGAGGTTGAGAGATTATAGGAGACCAATTAGGCAAGGATCTTCAAGTATTTAATTTTTATTATTATTGTATAGATGTTATTTGTTTTTAACCTTTTAAGATTTATGAAAATTTTATTATATATATAATATATGAGTGTTTATTAATCTTGACTTCCTATAATTAAGTCCTGGCTCCATTTTAAGAGAAAATGGAAATATATGACTGAAGGCTAATCCAACTCTCTAACCATTTTGATTAATTGCATGAAAACCCAAAAGCAAGTTTTCACTTTTATAATTCACTGCTTGGGCAGCTCCACTGGTTCACAAAAACTAGTCTTTTGCCAAATAAGATGGAAAGACATCAAACAATTAATTAGGCCACCACAATACAGGCTAATGTTAATTATTTAAAAACATACAAATCTTTGAACAAGTTTCACATGCGAACTGTGTGGATACATTCGAGCTCTCCTGCATTGTCGTATGGAATTTTAAAATGAGTCGCATTTTTGGTATATAGATTAACGTGGCTTCTGAGGGAACACTAACGTCTCCACACACACAAACAAACCACGCTTTTGTTATTTTATAGTAGCTCCTCCAACTTCTTTTCTTACACTTCTTCACTAAAATAACACTTCGTTTTCCAGTAACATCGAGGAAGAATACGATACTACCGTAAATCACCATCATGTATAGTCTCATCACCTATGGATAATACTTTATAACAATTTTAAACAGCCTTTTCTTTTCATTGAGTAGGGTATAACTTGCTTTCTTTTAATTACTACCAGCCGTTTGATCAAGCACATTCATTTACAATTCTCCAAGGCGTCTTAAATATTTATTAATTAATCTCTGATAGTGGCATGTCGAGCCCGGGACATAATTCGATTTTGTATTCAATAGAAAATCATGTTATCGTTGGAAAAAAGGGAGAGGAGAGAATTAGATTATCCTCTTACTAATTAATTAATCACTAAGGTCACACTCGTTTCCACTTCAGATGTTGTCGCTCTTATCGTTTCCTTGAAAGTTCCATCCAATGAAACGCATGCCGTTGATTAGAAAACTTAAAGTAAATAAAAAAAAAAAGTGCGTATGATATGAGAACACGATAGCACAAAAATCGAAAGAAAATTCATGGTGCGTTGTTGAAAACGTTAAATTAAAGATATTGGGTGTAAGAGGATTTCACCTAAACAAATATCAACAAAGACTAGCTCAAATTATGATGAATATGTATAACAGGGGATCTCATCTTCTCATGTTGGCAGTTGAATTCTCCATAACTCCGTACGTTGTTGCAGGAGAGGGAAGCAAGCGATGCGACGAGAATGAAACGAGAAAGAGCTGAGGCATTTGGAAATGACGATTCCATCCACATCATTAGTCATTAGGTGACTCCCAAGTCGGCTTATTGGGATCAGATCATTACACTCGGATCCCATTCTATTCTATCCATCTCGGTGGTCCCTACCACCCCTCTTGTTTCTCCCTTCCTTCCTCTAACTCTCATCCGATCATCATTTTCGTTTTAATTATTCCCCACAATCATCTTCTGCCACGTCATATCCACAGTTACGCCCTCCTAATTCCGATTTCCATCCATCCCATTCGCAATTTCTTCGTGCGCGGCGACGCCGGATATTAAAAATTTTAAATCACCCCCCAAACGTCCACCTCGGACAGGTGGGTCCCTCCAACGCCCAGCAAAGCATCGCTTTTTCTATTTCCCCCCATAAATTGAAGCGTCGTGACTCCGGGATTGCTCAGATCTCATTCTTCCGTTCAAACTCACGACACTGACATAGATAACGCCAGCCAGCAATATAATCATGCACAGAGGATTGCCCTGGTTGCCGCCGCCGATTACGTCCCAGGCCTCCGACGACGAACGCGACGACCTAGTAATGAGCTTCGCAGACACGGTGTTCGGGTTTTTTGAGGACGATCACTCCTCATCCGACTCCGATCACTCTCAGGATGACGTCGACGAGGACGGCACCTTTTGCACCGCCAAATTCGACAAGTCTTTCTGGGACGAACAACACCAACTTCTTCAGGTACGGTTTCGATTTCCTTATACACCCACGGGCCGGGATGGGGGAATTAATTTGAATTTTGATATTTTTAAAGCAATTAATGTCAGTTATATTACTACTGCATTTAAATATTTTGATTGTTATATAGTAAAGAAAGTTTATTTCAAAATCAAATTCGATTGAATGGTATGTGATAATTAATTAATATGTCCATTTGAAAGGCGACTTTGTGCAGGACGGGCTCATTTGAGACCAAAATTAGGCAGGCTACAAGGGCGGCTTTAAGAGGATTAAGTACATCGGGCATGAAGTGCACTTGCCGGCGGCAAGAGGTGACGCATATGGGCTGCCGGAGTTGCTTGCAGAGAGAGATTTGTTATCGCCTTTTGGACCTTGGCTACAATTGTGCCATTTGCAAATCAAAATGGAGCAGTTCATCAAAAATCCCCTCGGGTAAACTTCTCGGTTATTGCTTTAATTTATTACATTGATCAAATTTTGTTTAGCTCCTCTTTGTGGGGATGCATAAATTGGTCGGAATAGGAATTAGGCCTTGAATATTTTATAGAAATTTAGAGAGCTGGATCAAGGATTTCAGTGAGGTTAAATTCGACTCTAATGTTTGGCCGAAACAAAAAAAAAAAAAGTCAACTCTAATGAAAGGCAGCTTAATATTTTGGAACCGGATTCCACATATCGTTTCAGAAAATTTTCAAGGTAGAGAGACAATAAATCAGAAAGAATTGAAGAGTACGTGATGTAAGTTTGTATGTATATGAAACTTTAAAAGATGAGCCTCTTAAAGCTTTTATTTTATTTTATTTGTTCATTTTTTTATATATGATCAGCTAATGATTCAAAGAATTTTAATTAACTGCTTCACATTATTATTTCATTGTATTTGTACAATGATATAATTTATGAACATAAAAAATTACGTTACTCTGTCGAATACTAATTAATATTGGCTCATACAAGTTGGTACCTGTGTCTAAGCTAGCCAATGCTTTTGTTACACGTTATATCATTTGGACTTACAACAACAACAACAACGATAATAAATATTAAATAATTAAGTCCTTGTTATTTTAATTATTTTAGGTGAACATAATTACCTGGAAGTGATCGACAATTCAAACATTAAAAGAGAAGTGAGAGTGGTAATCGAGTTGAACTTTCCCGGCGAGTTTGAGATGGCCCGGGCTAACGAAGAGTATAAGCGATTAATTAGCCGATTACCGGAAGTTTATGTGGGAAAAGTAGAGAGATTACAAGTGTTAGTTAAGATTTTGTGTTCAGCGGCAAAACAATGCATGAAAGAAAAGAAAATGCACTTAGGACCATGGAGGAAACGGAAATACATGCAAGCTAAGTGGCAGGGCACGTGTGATAAGTCCATGTCCATGCCGCCGACCGGATACTCAGGCCGCCCGCGAAGACCTAAAGCTTCCTTGCTCACCTGTGATTTACTCGAAAACATCCCTGACTTCCACCCAACTGTGGTTGGGGTCGTCTGATCGGATCTTCTACCCTCTCTTGTGTTTGTCTTTATTATATAGCTATGTATATGATATAAATTGCCGTACGCATGATGAATGAGATTGAGTTTAACAGTAGTTGAGTTGTTGGGGAAGTTTAGTTAACTCATGAAGTTTTGTTTTATATATATTAAGCTTGTTTTGATGAGCTATGTGGAAATAAGTTTCTTTCTTTCTTTTTCAACTAATAATTACAATGATTGTCATGGTTAACCTAACTAAAATCACTTTTTTTAACTCGTTAACTAATTTGCACTAAGTTTGGCGAATGAGATTTCGATATGAAGGCAATTGATGATATTACGGAGAGGCACACTTTTGTTTGGAAAAATGAGAGTAAAATCTTAGAAAGAATTAATGACAATTACTAAATCAGATGCCTGCAAACAAGAATTTTAATTGTAAATTCAGAATTAAATTTGGAATTTAAATTTTTTTTCGTAATTGAAATTTCTGAATTTTTAATGATTTAAATTGAGATTTATGATTTATTTTTTAAATACAACAATCATTGAGATGCACCTTATAAATATGGTTGAAATAAATACTTTTTCTGCTGTATAAATAATACTAGAGAAGTAATTTATTATATTAATCATCAAACACATTTTTTAATGATGTAGATCAAAATTCAGTTGATGAAAATAATTTGACCAAAATGATAATTTAATCTCATAAAATGTGATAATGCCTTCTAAGTTTCAAGGGATCTAAGTGTCATTAAAGTTTTTGATGAAATGCCAAAAATACCCCTTAATTTAAAAAAATGAAAAATTAGTAAAAAAATTGTGAATGCATCAACCAATTTACTTATTTACTGAATTATACTTGTAAATTCTATAGCTAAAGTTTTGAGAGAAAAAACTTTAATTTGTTGCACTTTTTAAATTAAGGGTTTTGTTTTGCCATTCATCAAAAACCTTAATGATAATTAGGTTCATTGACACTTAAAAGGTATTATCACATTTTACAAGACTAAATTGTTATTTTTTTTAGTTCGGAGGAATTTATTTGTCATTCTTTTTTATTAATATTTCATAATTTAAATAACAAAACAATAAGGGTTTTTTTTTTCAAATAAATTACCAATCCAGACCACCTAACCCCGTCACGTGACAATCACATGTGACATAGTGTCACATGTGAGTTTTTTTATTTTATTTTTTTGACCTTGATTGATGAGGCAAGATTGGGCTAGTGGATCACAGGACACCATACAAAAACCCTAAGTGACAGAGATGGGAAGAGCAAGGAAGGGTGATGATGGAATGGAATAAAGCAGGCAAATGATATTAGCACAGTGAATTTTTTAGGCCTGAGCGCATTGAATAAATCACAAGGAAATGCAACCCCAGATAAAATCAAGGTTAAAAGCAGAAACAGGAATGAAAAATCACCGCTAACGGGATATGTTGAACCCTTAAATATCGAGCTTGTAAAAACCAGCCTATATGTCCCTCATCGACAACTCTATGCACATGCCATGCCTTGTTTTTTTTTTTTTAAAAAAAATTCTTCTGTCCTAATTAATCACACACCATGTCCTCATCGTTGATCCCATGCCTTGTCAATAACACGCCTTCTCATTGAATGCCGTGGCCACCCATTCATACTGCATTAATTGTTTTTCGTTGAAAAACGTTTTATAGTATATCAAGCCTCGTACGATACGATATCCTCTATTCTTATGAAAATATAAGTAAAATTTAATCAACTCATAAAGTTTAAGAAATTTGTTAAGTATAATAATTATGTTTAAAATTAAAAGATTCATACTACATTATCCTTATAATTACTAAAACAAGTTTGTGCCATGATATAAATTTTAATTTTATAAAAGTCAATTTAGTAAAAATGTAATAAATGTTCTTTTTTAATTTTTATAGTTTTACATATAGAGAACGTACCAAACACCATTATATATGCACACATTCGTCAATTCAATATATAAACTATATTCTATAACATACGTCTCGAGCTCCACGAATGCATATTATGAGCTTCCCACAGCTCTCTAGATTTAATTATGTTTGAAGATTGGAGATAGTTGATCAATTCCATGGTCCCTGGAGATTTCTCGTCAAGGGTAGTTAGTGGAGCCAGTAAGTCCGGTGGGACAACTCTTGGACTGCTCCGATATTCTGTGCTTATACTTTTTGGCTTTTCTCGAATTTCAAGTTCCCCCCAATTGATGACATGACTTCATCACTTGATTTTCAACACGACTTTCTTACCAATCCACGCCACCTCCGTAATGGTTCTTTCTTGCTCCTACTTTCTGTCTTTCTCTTTTGATCACTCACCACGTTCACACACATACACACTAAACTAGATATCTTCGGAGTTCTGACGGGTGCGTATATAATTATAATAATCCACGATCGAGCTTTGGTTGATGACAGGTTAGAGATGAAAAAGGAGTGAAAAGAAGGAAACGAGTTGAAGTGACGTTTGAAGATCATGTCATCAGACCAGTGCTATTCTCTCCGGACATGTCCACGGAATCGTGTACAGAACGCTTCAATGAATATGTATCCAAGATAGCGATGGAGCAGCTACCACGTTCCACACCATTATGGTAACTTCACGTCATCGATCGGAAACCCAATCAACTGTCATGGTAAAGTTTCACCATTCACTTGCAGATGGCTACACTCTCATGAGCATCCTTCTTTCTTGTCTAACAAGAGCCGATGATCCCTCTCTGCCCTTGACTTTTCCTCCACTCAAATCATCAACGGCAAAACATGCCGGCCAAACCTGTTTGGCGAGATTCCCCGGTTTCATGATCTCTTCCGTGCATCTTCTATTCTGTTGCAGAGTTTGGTTGGAGCTTACTCAAAAGTAATTGGGTGGAAGATATCACGAGTCTTACATCAGGAAGTCGTGGTGTGGGGTTTATAAGTTTAAGGGATTCTCTCTCTTAATAAATTAGTTTTTTAGGATGGGTTTTTCATTTGTATTTGTGCTTGTCACATTAATATCCACAGAGCCTTCTGACTGGTAGAAGGTTGAGTGAAGTGGCTCATATTGGGGAGCCTCACAAGTGGTGTGGGTCAATAAGAGATGTTATTTCACTACAGTTCTCATTGAGAAGCTTCTCTGCATCTAGTATCGGTTCAGAGGCCCTGAGGTCAGTTCATATGATCGATCAATAAACTAGGATGTTAACTTTGTATTATATACTTCAAAACTGGGATTCGGGATAGTCTTTTTGCTTTGTTTTTCTTTTAATTACTTCATTATTTTTAGTTTTTAATTAGTTTACTTGAGAAGTGCTTTACTGGTGGTTTAATTAGCTTGAACTCGCGTGATGTTCTAGGTAATGGCTAAAAACTTCTACAAAACAATCAGAAATACAAGCGTAGAGCTGTCCAATATTGTTGGACCAGTAGATCACATGGCTTTTGGAAATTATCCCTTAAAAAGCTTCTACTTCACCGCGTCTGGCCTGCCTCAGGTATAGCTCTTAGCTTATGTCTTGGTTTTTCCACCAAAAATAAAATGTTTCCCTATGACTTCACTAGTTGCTTCCATCGGTATGCCAAGATAAAAAATAAAAACTTATAAAATTGCGTATATATATCCATGGGTATATAGCATATCTATCTTGTATCTTTCTCTCCGTACTTGTATTGAAGCAAACTCTCATGGCATGCGGTTGCAGAGTGTTGTAATTACAATAATGAGTTATAATGGGAAGTTAGTAGTGACGACGAGAACTGAAGAAGAGTTCACAGATCATCGAAATTAGCGTTGTATGTGAACAATGCCTTTGAGACGATACGCAAAGCAGCTATGGAGATTCCACACAAGTTCTAGATCTTTGTCATCAATTAATCAAATTGCTAGAGCCATACCCACGAGCCCTCCAGCCCATGGTTGCTAGTATTTCAAATTCTGGATTTTCAGCAGACAATAAAGCCTAAGATATTGTGTTTCTCCAATTTGTATACGTAAAAATAACCGGGCAATCATCATGCTCGAAGCTTTTTATGTCCCTAAATTAATTATTTGTAATATAACTCAGAACATATATAATTCTTCATATTAGGAAAATCACGTAATGAATATATTAGGAAATATTCTGTTTAATAATAAAGAAAAAACAGACAGTGTGTGGGCATGTGGTAGTGAAGAATGGAAGAGTGAAGAAAATTCTTGAGGTTATGTTAACGAACTTATACAAGATATAAATAAGAGTACTCGGCATTATGGTGTTGTGTGGAGAAAAGGAAGCGAGCGTGTGAGCTTAATTAAGAAAAGTGAGGTGAGAAGGAGAAAGTGCCAGCGAGAATTTTGAGAGAAGTAATATGAGTGAATAATATTTTTTTTAAAGTGAGTCCCTGTCGCTTTTTTAATCCTTAAATTCCAATTCTCCAAAAAAAAAAAACTAAAATAACAGTCGCAGAGACCAATCATCATCATGTTCTTCTAGCTATATATCTTTTTCCATGTCCATGAATACTTTAATTACTTGTGTGTTTGACCTTGTGTTAAGTATTGAAAATGTTAAAAATGACTATGAAAAATATAAAAGATCGGTATTAAAAATATGGAAAATGAGTTGACGGGAAGGAAAAAAAATTAAAAATATTAAAAATTTGAGAAGATCGGAAGATGGAATATATTTTATTAAAATATTTTATTAATTAAAAATATTTTGTTTTAATTGCAGTAATATTTGAATTATTATTATCTTTTTATTTAATTTTAAAATTTTTAAGATTTTCATGCTTTTATTTTTGGGATTGAGTTGAGATCTATAAATAGAATTTTAATTTATTTAATTTGTAGGTACATTTGATTAAGTAAAACTTACTATTATCTTAACTCTTCTATAAATTTTTCTATTCTTTCTATTCTCTCTACTTTTTTAATACTTCAAAAGCCTTCAAAAAAGTACCAGAAGAGTCTTAAAATGCCTTCAAAAAAGTACTTCAAAAGCATAGTTCTTTTTTAGTTAATAAGCCCTTATATATTATGTTTCTCCTATGTATACAAAAAGAAAAATCTGGGCAAATCATCATAGGAAAGCTTTTTATCTCCCTAAATTAATGATTTGTAATATGGCGGCAGAATATTGGGCGACCAGTGCACTCTATCTCTAAATTAACTCTTATTAATTCATTACTGCTACGTAATATATGAG